AAATAGTTCTGGAAACAAATAGTACAACAAAATTTGGCTTCTTCTTTTACCTGTATCTAGAAATCCGAATCTTGAAAGTTGATGCCACCAACTTACAGCCCTGATGTGTCACTTAAAAGCATTGAAATTTAACAGAGCACGATGTCAGCAATGTGTTTTAGTTCTAAATAGTGGTGATGAACAGCATATTTACACGAAGCAGCATGCCTGCTGAATGAAGGACACGCCAGTAGGCTTTGTGGAGGAAGACTTTTAATCTTAGCAATGCCAAGACATAAAAGCCCCGTATATTACCAAGAGGTGCCTTCGAAGCCCTCAGTTTAAATTTTGATTCGGTTGAAATACAAGGCAATTTTGCTGCACTAGAAAATTGAATCATTTAAACAAAAGCGTGTTTTATTTTTAATATTCTACACTTAACAATGCAACAATATTTTTGCCATTAATAATAAAACCCAAAACATTTGTATTTCAAATAAAGACCATTGTATCTTCATTGCATTGTAATGTATTTAACTATACCCAGACTTAAAACACGACAATTATTTCCAAAATGTATTCTGATTTTCAGTTTTTGAGTGAATAGTCCCTATTTTTTACCCACGGACAAAGACGCTGTAATAACTTAAATTTTATTAAATACTTTTGAAAAATTGGATCAGATTTTTAACAAAATGGACATCATAAACAATACGATTGTCAGCTTTCTGGAAAATTGAAACCCCTAAGAAACAAACACCCTCTTTGATAATGCTGGGATTGAAGTAAAGCAATAAAAGGTTATCATCTGATTAACGAAAGACATTACATTTTCTATTAATACACAAGAAAGTTACTAACCCGAAAGCAAATATGCACTTTCAGAATTTGATGTGGAACTAAAACGTTCAAAATCCATAAGAAGAATGAAAATAATACTACACTTCATTAACCCTGAGACTTCACGAACACAAATAATTAGGTTTAAATCTTTAATCTTTTCCCCCCTACGTCACATACAGTTTTTACTGTTTTTTTACTGAATAAATCTAAATCTTTAAAAAATTACGATGAAAAGCTGTTGAACTGGTCAGCAGTATGTAAATCATTGTGTAGGAATTAAAATAAAACTATTGGTCTCAGGAGAGGAATAGTTACCTTCGTAAATGCTTCTGGTGAGCAAAGGCCGAGTAGGTGCTGCGACGTTGCCAAGTTTATAAGTCCCATTGAAACCTCGTAGAAACCACACATTCGCTTAGGTATTTACAAATTACTTATCCTACATTAATATTTCATCTTTCGTATGACTTGTTTATATTGAAGTACTGTTTTAGAAGATTAGTGAATGGCAGTAGTGTAAAACTGTCGTTGCAAATGGATATAGTATTTATAAATTAATTTAAATGAAAGTAATACACACCCGGAAATTACTCGCAATTAGCAAACGCGAGGAAAGGGTAAGACGTGCTTATGTGAATTTCTCATGAGCGTGTTCTGCCAAGCATAATGCAATATTGATATGCATGGTTGATATCATGGATATCTCGATCAGAGAAATTTTACGGAAGCGCGTGCTTCTATCAGGAAGATGCTCTTTATAAGGGTGCCGTGTTCTTAATCAGAAGTACATGACGAAATGGCTGCCTCTCAGGCGACACGCAACCTCTTTGGGCTTGACGACTTTGTTTCTTCCTTTCCAACGGTTGACGCTTGAACCAGGCCCTGCTAGTTTGTCGTAGTCGCCATATACTGTCACTCTCGTGAAAGTGAGAGGAAAGGTACTACTTGCATTTTGTTATTAATGTGTTGTGACATGGGCTAGCGGTAGGAGGGAGGAAATTAGAGGTACAAGAACCGAGAACGTGTTTAGAATGTCCAGAGAAAAAGTAGACTGTCATATTCAGTCGGCGGACCTGTTCTCCCTTTTCCGTTAAAGCGAGTACAAGTAATGCCGAATAGTTACGTTTTAATAGCAACCTTTTAACTATAACTTTTCCATCCCAGAATATTTAAACATTATAATAAATATACATTTATTTGGTTATATTTCTGTGCATTTATTAATTTGATCAGCTGATGATCAATGATGTCATCCCTTTAATAGTGTCAATCAATCGACATTTTGCACAATAATTTCAGGATTTTTTTCTTAATTATCATCTAATAGGAGAAATCTAATCGGTTGTTCTTAGTGCACAGTTAGAAGAATTTTGTGCAGAAAATGTGGAAGAAAATCTAAATATGTTAATATTCGTTCTTAGATAACTTGCAGAATAATATATTTGAATATATTTTGATATACTTATTGTGGAAGTAAGTCTTGATGGGAAAATTAATGAGGTGAGTCCCCTTTTTTTAATTAAAAGTATTTTTGACGCAGGGTATATTTTATTTTCACCCACACTAAACCTTAGGCAAAAACCTGCATTATCGTTTGTTCTGAACTAAAAAATCTCTTGTCTTTAAAAATCAGGAACCCCAGACGGTCGCAGCTGCAGATGTCCCACTCTGAAAGCTCAGGCTCCTGATAAGATTGGCTACGCGTCCTCGCAGATGTGGTGGAGGGGGATTCGTATTTGTGTTCCCGGTGGGTTTGTGAGCGAGATATGTTGCTCACCTGTTAGTACATTTCATCATGGATACACATTGCAAACATCCTGATTTATCTGAAACGACAGTTTAGTCTCAGTATTCACATTTGTTGCTCGTAATTACTTTCAAACTATTGTAAACACATGACATATTTTGTTGCGCTATAGAACGAACATGTATGAGAAACATCGACATGAAAACGTTTGTCAGAAAATGTTTGAAGTTCCATGGTGAATATGTATGAGCATTCATTAAAAAACAACAACGGAGCCGGATAACCAATCACGCTCTGACCAGGGTTGTCTTTCGATAAATGAATGCAAAGTTGACTGCCAAATATTTTAGTACTGCGTATAGACCCAAAATCTTCAATATTTATTTCCCGAAAATCATTCAACGCCACTGAAGAATTTCGTACACTTTGAGTAGGACACCTCTTTAAAGTTGAAACAGACGTAAATGTTCACTAATTTAATTTTAGTGGATCACATTTAATAGCGATGAAAAGTATGAACATTTACAAAAATTAGGTTCTGAATGCTCCAACATACGATATGAAAATTACTCACACCAAAGTGATAAAATTGTTTTCCAAGCCATTACTTTTTCTGCTGACTAAATATTTTAAAACTTGACCACAAGAATCACTTGAGCTATCCCGACAGCCAAGAACGTGAGAACTAGTACACTTTCACAAAAGTATAAATACCATCCAATTAAGAGCACCAGTGTTTGAAGGTGCCTCGCTTTCTTTGAAGTTGTTCCGGTAAGCCGCCAGCGTGGGTTTTATGGTATTTGGGGTGTCTCATCTTACACATTCGTTTGAAGGCCGAGACTAATGAGTGCTTCAACAGTGGTCTTAGATAAATCTGGATTGGCCACTCTGGGGGTCATATCCATGAATTATGTTTATATTAATTAATTTTTAGTATTATTTCGCTTAGATTGAGGTAAGAGTATTGGTATTAGTAAGTGTATTGGTATGGTAAGAGTATTTGTAAAAGTAAAATATTAGATTGGGGTAAGGTATTAGTAAAATAGAATGTTTAGAAAATATATTTCAAATAGATGTAATTCAATTTTTCACATGCCCTTCAAATATAAGACAACCAATCCATTAGTAACAAATGAAGCTTCAATTAGGTGCACATTGTTTAAAAAAATATCTTAACATGTCTTCGTCCATCACTTGTTGCCGACACATATAAAAATAAATTTGTTTTCAAATATGTGGCTCAAGAATCGTTTAATTAAACAAGTATTATGAAACAATTCAGTCAAGGCACGATTGTTGAAATAACAAATATTTGTTATGTTGAAACACAAAATAATAAAAGCAATGTAGCATCAAATGAGAAATTAGTTTTGAAGGAATTAGTTTCACAAGGTATGCACTAAGGCTTTTCTGGTGATTTCTGATGCATTATAATATAAAGTAGACATATAAGACTCCATTATCTCTATTATTTTTAATTACGTGATTTCCTTCTTGTGTGTTTACATTTTTGTCATTTAATCTAAACGTTTTTCTTTGTTTTAAATATAATGCTTTCGATGTGGAATATCTACATAATACTTCATTCTAGAATCCGATTCGATTGGTAAACATTTCAAGTATTCTAGAACCCGTATCGTGTGACGTTTTGTGACAGGCAGAACCTTTGCTCACTATTGTCATTTCCATATCTTTTCTATCTACGTCGGCTAAGATACAGCATGACTTGCAACTTTTGATTTAATCAATTTTTCTAGTCGTGTAATATACTAATTTTATTCTAATTTAGTTTCAAACTGTTGTTAGGATGATATTGTCTTCTTAATGGCAGATAACGTGGGAATCATGTACCAACATAGGTCAATTTAGAACGGATTTTATGTTTCAGAAATAAAATCAACTGACACGCATGTGTGTAATTTGTAATGAACATTAATGATGCACGAGGGAAGAGGGTGACTCGAAAAAAGGGGTAAGAGAGGGTAGTCGCAATACCTCGGAACCAGCACGGATACTTGTTACAGATTTGCATGTTCCAGACTGAAACAATTTCCCCAAAGCACGAGAAAAAGTGTAAACTCTTTCACATTTTTTTATGACAGAAAATGTAAATGTAATTCTACACAGACATTATAGCAATAGAAAGGAGATGACACCATTACGTTGCTACTGTCTGGATATGAAAGTCCGAGTTTCCTTATCATTTAGGAAGTATAGCAAACTGATACGGTTCATAACTACTCGTAATAACAGTTTTACCACCATTTTTTCTTGCGCTCCATTTGATTGATATCAGAGAAGCTTGGAGCCATCAAGTTGGACTTCTTCTCAAAACCGTTTTCCTAATTACGTAATTACAAACTTTTTTTTGAATTTATTAAAAATTCGCATTTGCACTAGGTTTCACAATAATCCTGTTTGCATTACTTTTCACTTTCTGTTATTTCTGGCATCTTGCTTATTAGTAACTATTTAACATATCTCATATTGCTTATCCTTACTCCACGCATTTACTAAATTGGAATATTTATATGATCACAACTGATGTGATGAAATGTTTTTTTGCACGCCTCTTGGAGATGTATACACAGATATATCCTGACGTTTTTGTTGCTTTTTATGAAGAGCGTTAACCATCGACTGCTTCAGGTCAGACATACGACGTTGCAAGTCAATAGAATGCAGCTGTAGCTCCCTGCAATGACGGAACTCGAACTTAAGGAACGGCGTGAGATAGAAATGATTCAATAATGTTATCATCTTTCACACGCATAAAGATTGCTGGTTAGATTTCCTCAACCTCGACGAACCAGCAGCCATATTTATAGCAGTCGGTAACCGTTGCTCGGCAATCTTTGTTCCAATCGACGTTCCAAAATCCGACGCACACGAAATAGTATTAATGTGCGTGTCTGCCTCTCCATATGTCTGTCTGTCTTTCCATCACCCACGGTTAGACCACTTCCGGTCTACCCTTTCGATCAACCGAGGTGCCATGTTTCGATCTGAGTATTTTTGTGTTCTTTTAATCTACATTTAAAAGATTCCAAATTATTAAATATAAAAATTTTAAAAGTGTTTGAGATGTTGGATTCACCTCACTAAGGTAGTTGGTACTGTGTGATATAGATTAAGGTAATTCAGTATTGCTAAAGTCAATTTAAGTGATACTCTGTGATGTTTCCTTGCTGAATAGTCTTCCACGTTTACTGTAGGAATATATTATCTAAATAATGAATATCTGCCAAATAACGTGACAATTTATATTCTATCGCGTGACTGTTTACGTATTAATTAAAGTAAGTAATTTCAAGTAAAATTCTGCGGAAGTGCTAGAATTTAAATCACTTTCTTTCAGACTCAACCCCAGCATAGGCGTGCGCACAAAGGGGGGGGGGCAGGGGCCATGGCCTCATTGAAAATTTTGGAAGGGACCCAATAGCCTTAGGTAATATAACAATTACTTATCTTCCTCTTTTTTTAATTGACATTTTCGCGAATAATACATGGCGTATAGAGAAGAAATTTTCCAAACCATCTGGCAGCCGTTTAATTATTCAACATAAAATAAATTATGTTTATTAAGTGTAACATTAAAGTTATTTCATTATCCTGTATTATTATGTTTTTATTATCCATCGCTATGTTTTATTTATTTACTAGTAAAATACGTTATCTCTAAATAAAAAGGTTTAATGGTAAAGAGGATCCAGAGGGTCCCTGAAATTTAGGCTCCCCCCTTCTTAGGCCTCTTTCACAATGCAAACTTAAACGTAAACATAACGTAGCAGCAAAACCTAGAAATGTATTATTTAGAGAGACCATTCACAACGTCTTGACGAAACCGTAGGCGTATATCCGTAAACTTAAGAGTTTACAAGCACCAAGCTCTTACGTTACGTTTACGACGGAATTCTACCGAAGACCAATCAGAGAGAAGCGTGAAAGAAACAAACTTGGTGGGTTTCATATTGTGTTCAAGTAGTTTGGGGTTATGTCATTTCATTACTATTATGTACTGAACTAGTTTGCAAACGGTCTTGATTTGAGTAGTGAATAGAAAGTTGGAATTCCGGCCATTTTCTTGTGGCTTTAACTTATATATGGGGAATAAAATAATTACGTTCGACGAATTACTCGTGAATTTAGTACAAGAGAATCCTTGTTTATAAAATAAAGGAAATTCAAGCACTTATACAACAGCTACTCGCGTTTACATATAAAGACAAATCGAGAGGAAAATTGAAGAAACGTTAGAAACCATGGTGAAAAGGTCTTTCCCCCACTTACATTTATTCAGTAAAAACAAAACAAAAAACAAAAAACAAAAAAAAAAAAGCAACAAAAAAACAAAAAAAAAACAACCCTGTATGTGACGTAGAGGGGAAAAGATTATCTTTGCACGTTTTCTTGAGTTCCAGAATCCCTTCCCGGCATTTTAACTATCATAAGGAGAGTTCAACAAAAGTATAGTGAAGCTACATTTACTTACAGAAGCAAAACAAGGGGCCATGTAAGCATTTGCTCAATGAATCAGAGGAACTGGACACAAACCTGATCGAGATGGGATGAGACAATCGATCAAACTTTAATATGTTGAAATCTGATTGGCTCAAGAGAAACTTATGTACCTGCTTACAGTGAATGCTTCTTTTTACTGCTAAGTTTTTGACAGCACGTTACGTTTCGGTTTGCAATGTGAACGAGGCGTTAGGCCGCACCCGCCTACCCGTGTCAGCGATGCCCACGGGAGCGGCCGTTGCCTGGGGTCGGGGCGCGCCCCTCGTCGCCGTTTATGATTTCTTGCGCGCTCCTCAGCGTCGACGTGTCCTCGCCCTCGTCCTCCGAGGACGTCTGCGTGCTGCCGCTGCGTGCGCACGCAAGCGGCGGCGGCGGCGGCGGGCGCGTGACGCACGCGGTGCAGCAGCACATGGGGCGAGTGTTTCCGTAACTGGATCGCGCGGCACCGCCCTCCGCCGCCGCCGTCCGGCTGCTGACGCCCTCGCACTGAGCGAAATGATGTCGGGCGGCTGGTCGGTAACACGCGTAGCCATGCCCAATGGTGTAACGGTTAACGTATCGGACTGATGTACCCAAGTTAGCGGGTTTCAACCCGATCGAAGCCGTGGATTTTTAAGGGCGAAAACATCCTTCGTACGCCTTCCTTCGGAGGGGAAGTAAAACCGGCTGTCCCATGTTCGAGATTTACTTGCATGTAAAAGATCCTTAAGCCTAAATGACGCCTCTGAGCTAAATTCAAAATCGCCCGTTTCTCGCCCAAGACATACCTCCTTCCTCTTCTAGTTGGTGAAAGGAGCGTAGCGAAATTTGTGTGGTCAGACGGAAGAGCGGGCCTGATGGCCCAAGTCTCACCACGTAAAATAAGGCTTTAATTCAATTCAATTCATGTTGTTTTCTGTAGAACTGTAGACTCCGATTTTATCAACAGCCGTACTAATTTTGTAGGTGAAAGTTCCATATCTAACTAGTGGGGCTTTCTTGCATTAATTTGTAACTGTTGCAATTATCGAAAATTCTGAGAGGGCGAAGCTTAATGAAAAACTTCGGAGCTATTTACGAGAAAATTTTGAAATTGTAATTGAGGCTGCATGTAAAGTACCCTCCAAAATCAAAGTATCCTTTTCAAACTCGCAGAGCCATGAGTTCTTTGAAATCGATTAGGGAATATCAATTTTGGAGAAGAGAGTCTGAATGGTTTAGGAGCCAGCGTTGACCGCAGGTAGACGGAGAGACGGACAGACACACGTTTTGCTATCTAACAATTTTTCGGTATCAAGAACCTTCAAGGACACATGCTGACAACACAGCGTTAGAAGAAGTAATTTACTACATATAAGTAACATATTTATCCATTATTCGTAACTTGAACCTTGGCAAATAAAAGTTATTCTGACAAAATATCGCCGTATTTCGGGCACACGATTACAATACTCTCTCTTCTTACAAAGTAATGAGAGGAAGTAAAACGTAGGAACATTTAAAAAGTTATTTTTATTTATGTCCATAAATACGCATTAAGGTTGACAGTAAGTAAACATCTAAACAACGAATTAAGGCCGCGTCCACACATAGCAGCGGAAGTTAAAATACTGCCGCAGACGTACAGATATTAATGTCAACGGACCAATGCGTAGCAAATGGTAGAAGCGGTTGAAGTTGAAGGAACAAGCCAAGTCGTGCTCCGTGGGAGGACACCTGCAAGGAGAAAACAGCATGCTGACGTGTAGGTCAGCGTCGGATCCCACATTCGCCCGGGGAGGGGAACAGCCAACGCACGTGATATAACATGCACAACACTTTTGGGACTAATGACATCTGTAGTTGTTTCCAGAATCAATATTCACTCACTAGAGTGCAGGGGACTTCCATCGAACTGTGAGAAGAATGGGTCAAAGCACAACTATTGAAGGATGTCGTTCCAAACGCCTAACTTTCTAACTAGACTTGTAAAATAAGGTTGCTGGTTCTTATCAAATGCTATCACGAATTTACTTTTCAATGATAGTGTTTTAGAAATACACTTGCCGAATTTTCTGAAACGTAATATCATAGAGCAAGAAATGTGAACAAAGAAGGGATTGAGTTACTGGAGCTTAATTCATTACAAGCAACTGGGAACAAAATTCAACAAATTCTTAAACATAAAATCTGTTGTGGAATCACATTGATAAACCCTTAGAAAAAAGTATTTCCTTCTGTATTCTGATTGATATTATATTTCACTTTGTTTATCAAATTTCCATGAGAAGATTGAATTTCGTACGCGAATTGATATGTTTTGAAACTCTTCAGGACATACGATTGTATTTCGAAGCTGGCAGATGGATATTTAGTCACAGCTGCCTGGAGATTCATGAAAATAAAAACAGAAATTTGAGTTGAATAATACTAGGAGATTTTACTCGCATATAAAACCCCATCGTATAAATTATTATTTCCATCAGCGTCGCAGTTGGGCAGTACTACTGAAATAGTACTACGAATTTCGAGAAAAAATGCATGTCATATCTCGTAATACTTCTCACATGTCTCATTCCTGGAAAACTAATATATAATATGTAAACTAATATATAAAACTCATATATAATCTATTATAACCAATATATAATGCAAATTCTCACATTTTACAGTTCTATCCAACCATTCTTCGTAAGTTTCACGTAAACCTTGAATGGAAAATGATGTACAATTTTCTCTCAAAAGTTAAATTTTTGAATATTTATTTAATTTTCATCATTTTATTGTATCGTACTTCTACGATAGTACATGGACTGCGAAATGACACTGGCTATGCAGGTAAAAAGATTCTACAATTCTCCATTAAAAAAAAAAATTATTGGATGAAAGAGAATAGTTGTAACAATTTTGTTAGATTCTTGGCGCGTTAGCAATAGATTTAAAGTAAGGCTTTTACATTGAATTTCCTGCATTA